GTGGTACACGGGGTTCGGCCATAGGAAGTGATGCCGGGGCCCCTGAAGCAAGGCCAGGGCCGCTACAGGCGGACGTGGTGGTGCAAGGGGTCAGGGGCCCTGTGGTGCAGGGGCAGATATCGTGCAGGCACTGGAATCGATTTTCAATCTGTAAACACTGTCCTGTAATACGTTTACAGCTTGCGTCAAGGAAGCCAGGTGCCTACAAACTTCCTCCAGCGGGGAAGGTCCTCCTCGAGGCTCCGTCATGGCCTTCTGGTACTGTAAGGGACCCCCGGCGGTACACTAGCACTCCACTAAATAGGTGTTTCCCAGAGCACGGAGTCTAAGTCCCAGGGTGCTGTTCACCAGGGCCCCTGATGGTGGGGATGGACTTGGAGCCCCCGAGACCAGGTCGTGACTACTGGGCAAACCCGTTAGTGGTATTCGCCGAGGGTCCTGCGGGGAAGAGCCTGATATGAGGAGGTCAGGAGACCCCACTGGGAGGGGGATGGGGACGGATGGATGGATGGATGGATGGCTGAGCAGGTTGCTGGGTGTCAGACAAGCCGGGTCGGTAACAGGGAGGACGATACGGTACAACAGGTAGCGGGCAGAATAGTTGGGTCACACGCCAGGTCAGCAACAGCAGGTCAGATCAATAGGGGGCATTCAAGAGAGTAGGTCAGGCAAAGCAAGGGTCAGGGCAGGAGAAATACAGCAAGGTCAAGCACAATCGGGTCAGCAACTTACAATTCACAGGTTCGCAGATACAGGATACAGGTAAGACCAGAAGGCACTGAATGACAGCTCAGGGCCATTTAAATATCCCGCCCTGCGCTGCCATTGGTGCCCAGCGGGCTGGCCGCGGGCTTCTACTGCGCATGCGCGAACTCGAACGCCGCGGCCGGCCCGGACCTAATGTGCTCGAGTCCCAGCACAGGGCCGGCACACTGCGCCTGCGCCGGGGACCATCGCGGCGGGGAACCGACGGGGATCCCTGACAACTAGGTTGTTGACTTTTGTGAAATATAATACTCCAGTTGTATCCAGGCTTGCACTGCTTTTCAGTAAAACCGAGCCTCACAGACTGAATTTAAACTCGGGCTCTCACTCCACATATTATACACAGTTATACATAAAGGGAACAAGTCACTTGTACTGTGTCAGTGCCACCTTGACAATATAAAACACAGCAATGCATCTTATGCTACAATTCATCTAACTTTTCCCAAATGAAAGTAAGGTCTGACAAGCTCCAAACTGTGGCGAAGTAGGGAAGTTTGTACTGAACACAATGCCACCTCATCTTTTTCTCTCAAAATTTCACAAAATCTCATGTACCACCACAGGCAGCCATAGAAGGGTTTGTGACATTTGATAATCATAGTTCAAGAAACATTTGACAGAACACAGACCAGCTGAGAAGGAATGCAGCAAGCAGCAACCCTCCACTAGAAGGATCTGCAGAAGGCTTGTAATTAAGCCCTGTAACAAAGGGGTTTATTTACTTAAAGCTGGAGAGTCCAAAATCAGACTCCTTTCTGCATAGAAACCAATCAGCTTTCTAACCTCAGCTTGTTCAATGAAGCTTTGGCAATGAAACCTGGAAGCTGATCTTTAGTAAATAAACCTCAAAGGGTCTGTCATAAACAATCTAGAAGCAATACACATGTGTGAGCCTATTTTCTTTTAACTGAAACTGAACTCCTAGAGCCAATCATTGTATATAATAAATAATTACTGCAGCAATGGAGTTACCTTATACTGAGGGAAAAAGACCCAAAACGCACCTATATCCAGAAAGCTAGTAACACACATTAGGCCTCTTAAAAGAATTGTAAAAAAGATCTATATCATATTTGGTGTTGTTGATGAATAAAAAATGTATACATATAACAATTACCATGTAGACCTTGTTAATGAATTCTACTGTATTAACTCAGTCTGAACCCGTGAATATTTTTTCCTCTAACCCTGAGAACTCTAAGACTCTAAAAAAAATGCCAAGGTTGTTTAAACATGAACATTGACATGAAAACATGATTATACCTGGATCCTGAGGGGAATAGCATATCTGGGAAAGGTGGAATTGTCTCATGTTTGCAAACGCTCAACAACTTCACCATTTTTTTTCAGAAAGCAAAGACTTAATTCAAGCAACTCCAGGGGCGGACTGACCATTCGAGCACTCGGGCAGTGCCCGAGGGCCCAGGGTCAGTAGGGGGCCCCATGAAATGCCCCTGGTACCTTTTTTATAGGCTTTTTTGGATGTGCTTTGAGTTTGGACAAGGACACAGGGGCCCCATGATCCCCTATTGCCCGGGGGCCCCATGAGTTGTCAGTCCGCCCCTGAGCAACTCTTTAATGTTTGCAAATAAGGAATGTTCATTTAGTTATTGGTCACTGTTTTTAAGCTGGGAAGAGCACACAAAGGAAGTTTAAAGAAAACATTCTGAGACTGGTTAAAGAAACAATTGAGTACTGTCCGTGATACTTTTTTTATTTGCACTAACATACAATTTTGAGGACAAGCTTTCGGGGTATCGGGGCACTAATACGGCTACAATCACCTCAAGCAAAATGGATGAGACTGGTTAATAAACAGTTTAATCCAGAGAAAGAGAAACAAGTGTCAATTTAACTTTTATCAAACAAAACCATGCTATGGTTGAGTACAATGTTGGAAAGGATTATCAAAAGGGGCCCTAATGGTTCTATGTATAAAACATGATGATATATAGAAAGACATAATCAGGATGAAATAGCATATTTTCTTAAAAGGAACTGTTAAGCTTACTATAGTTGTTTATTTTTAATTATTATTTTAGAAATGTGTACTTTATAATGTAGCAATACCCTACTAATAGTTTATAGTGTGGGGATTTTATGTATATCAATAATATTTGATTATGAAATCATGCCATATCTGTAGTCAGATATTTCCATTTAATTACCACTACATAAAAAAAGTAATTGATCATAAATTAGAAATCACCAGACTCTCCAAGGCATTCTATATACTTTAGATAGAATCACACAGTCCAGCTTGTTATAGTAAAATATTAATTTATCCTATAAACAGATTATTTTATAAGATCCATTTCCACTATAAAACTGAAGTTGATTATACTGCTTCACCAGTCATAGAGTTTGCACCTTCTGGACCAGGTTTATCAAAATTTTAGTGTATTGTCTGCCACGCAATAAGATAGCAAGTCAGGTAGACTGGAGAGAAGACTCACATCACATCATCTAGAGATTGCATCATCTGGGAGACTGCACCATCAGATCACATCAACTAGCCGTCCCATCATCTGACATTTCACTAAAGCCAGAACAGCGCCAGCCTAGCTAGATGCCATTTTGGGGAAGACAAACTCTACCCATTATTCGGCAGCCATCTTAGAAGAGTCTAGCCAATAGCCATTTTAAAGAGTAACTATAGTTTCATATATATTATTGATTTTTCTATGTGCAATTATTTTATATTAGCTGATTTGCTACCCCATTAGATATCCTAACACCCCAAAAATTTTGATTGTTTTAATTTGCCGTATTGGAACTTCACCCAGTAATTTGTTCACAGGTCAAGTTAGTCAAACGCAGATTACTATCTGCCAAATTTTATATAAACAAGTAAGGATAGCTACAATAGGGGAAATTAAATATTTAGTTTAATTTAACAAATATCCCAAGGCTTTAGCAATTCATTGTAAATTATAGTGTCTGTGTCAGCCTATTAATCAAACTGTTAGTGGTGTTTGTAAGTGACTTATTGTAAATAAATAATTTATTTTTGAAAGCCGCAGTCTATAATTACATCGATCTATATTGTGTTCTTTTTAAAAGATTTCTGCTTGGCAAAATAACTCAAAATAATTAAATAAGTCAGTTAAATTAATGTTATATATTATTTTTGTATTGCACTGTGGTTTGATCTATTTAGCTGACTAAATAATTTGTTCAGACGCTCCCTGACAGTGTCTAACAGATCATAATTTAATTCTGCTAAATACAGGACTCAGGTATGTGTTGGGGAAGAGAGTGGGTGGAATCTAGTATTGGAAGTTTTTTTTTACCTTAATGCAGAGAATGCAGTTTAAGACTGCCATCTTCTAATACAAGGTAGAAAGTGAAAGTGGGCATCTTAAAGTGGAAGAAAATCCTAACTATGTCTATTCTGAATGTGGTTGTAAAGGCCCAAGATTTTGTATCTTCAGGCATTCTATGCATGAAGGTATAAATCTTTCTGTGTGCACCTTCCCCCCCAACACTTACCTGAGCCCCATCATGATTCAGCGATGTGCACAAGAACCTCGGCTCTCTGGAGACTTACCCTTCTCATTGGCTGAGACAACAGCGGGAGGCTTTAATATCACTTTAATAATGTTCCTTCACTCATATTCTACCTATCTTGCCCAACCTGTATAAAAAAAAAAGATCTGTATATCTACCTAATTTAATCCACTCCAGTCACATGATTTTGCAGCTCCATCTTCCCTGTGTCAGTGAGCAGCTGCTGCAGGGAAAAGGAGGGAGCGGCGACAATGACTGTGCCACGGGAGCCTTTGGTGGATTGTCACAGCTCCTGGAATTCTTAGCCGATGATGAGCACTCCCCTACACAGAACTGCAGGATTATGTGACCAGAGTGGAGCAGATTAAAAATAGGTAGGTACACAGATCTTTTTAATACAGTTTGGGTACGATAGCAAAGAGGAGCTGTAGGGAACATTTTTAAGATTAGATATAGTTAGGGTTTTCTTCCAGTTTAAAGGATGTTATTGGTAAGAACTTTGTTTTCCAACCACAAATCATGTACAATATACTTGACATCTGACGCTCTTTCTGTCTTCTAATTTATACAATGGGTTGTGTTGGAAATCTAGTCTTAGCTCTCTTTCCAGTTTCTAGACAAGTCCCAGCACATACTAAATAAATACATGAACATATAGATGAGGTAAAGTAAATACACACTGCATACATGGCATTAGTCACATAATAGAAAGTGTTGCTCACCCCAGGCCAGATCACTCCTGCGTAACCTTCCAAGGACTCCTGGATAATAATTTCGTACCCTGCAAACCAGAGGTGCTCTTTCCCAAAACAGGAGTAGACAGTAGGAGCCCATGCCTTGAAGGGCTGGATACATGGTTTGAGGTCACATGTGACATCTGAAAACAAAAACACATTGTTTCATGGTAAGGAGCAATACCAGCCAGTAGATGTTTTCCACTGCAACTATGTTACAGTCAGGAAGTCCTATTGTGACCTCTGTGCAGTCCACTGCAAGCAAGTTTTACTGGCACCTGTGCATTCCCCACTGAAAAGGGGACTAGCGCAATCAACAGACACCTTGATTGAAAACTGAAACCATACGCAGATACGGTGTATTTCCTACATGCATGCCAAGGCTACATTTTCAATTCTGAATGAAGTATGCCTTTAAAGCAGTATTAAACCCAAAAGCAAACATTTATTTTTTTCCAAAAAAGAGGTGTTTATTGAAAAAAAACACACAGATTGATACAAGACAGAATAAAATTTCAAACGGGTTGAACATAGGTCATATGGCAAAACATATATCATACAGAAGAGCATGAAATCCAATGCAGAAATGAACAAATTGGATGAGTAAAACCACGACAAGGTTGTGCCTGCAATATTCCAGTGTGCTTGTCAAACGATTAGAGCAAGGAGGCACCAGGCGTTCTACAGTAATGTCTCAAAGTATGGTGCTATGGAGGAAAGGAGGGTGCGTACAATATCTAAGCAGAAGTCCAAACTACAGGTTTGAGATAGTGGAGGTGGCGGAGAGCGTATATGGGAGTAGATTGTCATGGAAATCGCTAATGGGAAAGGAGATAAGATGTTGACATCATGCCTAATGCTCTGCGGAATAATTATCTGGAGCTTGTACAAGCATAAGAGAGGAGAAAAAAAAGAGGAAGGAGAGAAGCGCGAAGCAAACATTTATTATATTGCAGCTTACCAAATCTTCGATATGATGGTTGTATTTGTTTCCTTTTTTTAGGCTCTCTTTCTTCTATTTTCATCTGGTGATCCAGCCAACAATTCTGTTGTTTTTTCAGAAGCACAAGCTCTCCAGCAGAATGTATCATTTATATGGACGAGACAAACCATTTAACACTGACAGGTGCATACAATTATACTCCTTTATTTGTTTATGTAAAACCTTTATCCCAGAAGGAAAAAAAAACTGTTGTTGTAAATGATTATAAAGTGTGAGCTAGTTTGGCTTTAACTTGTTATTGTATTCAAATCTGCCAGTACATTTAACATGCCCCCCCCCCCCCCCAGACTGATGATGCTGCTGTTTGCTGTACCTCCTGTGCTCCTTCATCCACAGTGGTATCTCATTAATACAGGAGGAATGTTACTGGTCAGATCACTAGGTGAAAACAGAGAGGAAAAAAGCCACAGAAAATCAAATGGATGTAGCCACAACATCACTAATGGGTAAGCCGCAATATATTACATTTTTGTTTCTTGGTTTAATACTGCTTTCATGCTTCAGTTATAAAGGAACAAACGGTATATTCTGTCATCACCTATTACTTCTCTAATCTTTTCTCTTATAGTGTAACTGCAACCAATTTTTTTTTAGTTTTGTAAATGGGAGTTAGGAAGACCTGACATGATTTTTTTTTTTCTGCTCTTTCCCTGCTTTGAAGGAATTCCCTTGTTTACTGGTACCATTCATAGTGGACACTGAGAAAGAAAACGAGTGGAAATCCATCCAATGGGGTAACATACAGATGGAGCAACAGCAAACGGATGAGGTCATCATTCTGTTTGACCATGTTGTGTAGCGCAGCAGAGCCTCAATCAATTTACACTAATGCCCCTTCCTCTGAGAGTCAGAGGTCTGCTCTACAGGGGGATCACCGGGAGAAAATATCAAGACAAATTCAGGTACTTATATTAGCTGAATTTAGATGTATATTTACTGATTTGTTATTAACCATTTCCATACCGGGCACTTTTACCCCCTTCCTGCACAGGCCATTTTTCAGGTTTCAGAGCTCTCACACTTTGAATGACAATTGCGCGGTCATACAACATTGTACCCAAACTAAAATTTTATCATTTTCTTCACACAACTAGAGCTTTCACCACTGGGGTTTTTATTTTTTGCTAAATTAACAAAAAAAAAGGCTGAAAATTTTGAAAAAAAAAAAACGCTTTTCTTTGTTTCTGTTATAAACGTTTGCAAATAAATAATTGTTCTTCGTAAATTTAGGCCAAAATGTATTCTACTACATGTCTTTGTTGAAAATAACCCAAATTAGGATGTATTTTTTAGTTTGTAGGAAAGTTATAGAGTTCACAAACTATAGTATTGATCTGAAAATTGATCAATCCTGAAGTACTGACAGCCAATCTAATTTCTTGAGGTCCAAGAATGTCAGAACAGTACAGATATCCCCCAAATGACCCCTTTTTGCAAAGTAGACAGTCCGACGTACTTCATAAGAGGCATGGCGAGTTTTTTGAAGTTGTATTTTTTTGTCATAATTTTTGGGAAAATTAAAAATTAAAAAAATTATTTTCACTATTTTTTTTTTACATACTGTCACCAGTGCAGTACAGCGTCATCATATAACTGGCATGGCGGTGATCAGGGACACTGATTGGTGACAGTATGAAAAAAAAAATATATATATAATTTTTTTTTAATTTTTGTATTATTTTTAATTTTTTATTATTTTTGTTTCTTTTTCTTACGTTTTTGTTTTCATATTTCACTATGACCAAAGTAGTACAATGTTACCATAGTATTTTTTTTTTTTTTTTACACAATTTGCTTATAGCAAAGAATTACTTTGCTATAAGCAAGCATTTACCTGAATGACATGGATTCATTCAGGGTTTTTTTTTTTTTTTTTTTTTTTTTTTGTGCTTAGCTGTGATTTGGCCACAGCTAATCACATGACACAGCTGGGTTGTGATTGGCCCAGCTTGTGCATGTGATAGCTGTGACCAATCACAGCTACACACACTAGTATACAATGGATGGCATGAATGAAGCCATCCATTGTATACAACTGTCATGTGACCTGCTGTGATTGGTCACAGCAGGTCACATGGTATCAGCAACGGGGGCGGTACTCAGATCTGTCATCGGCCGTGTCCGACGTACACGGCCGGTGACAGATCGCGCTGCTGCGCGGCTCTGCAGCCATATGGCGTCCACCCGGAACGCTAATGGATTTTGCCGGCCGCCATTCGGCCATTGCCGGGGCGGCTAATGGTTAAATAAGTTGAACAAATTATATTTTCTATCTGCATGTAGTTCAGCTGTAAAGTGACACTATTTCTATATTAAACCTGCCAAATCAAGCCATACCTTTAAAGAAGGGACAATATACTTAAAACATCAGCTATTACCTTTTGTATCACTTGACCGCCCCTCTTAGATTGTAAGCCCTAACGAGCAGTGCCCTCTGATTCCTCTTGTACCAAATTGTATTGTAACTGTAATGTCTGCATTTCATTTTGTAAAGCACTGTGCAAACTGTTGGCACTATATAAATCCTGTATAATAATACTAATATTATTAACATACCTTTGCTGCTAACAATGCTGCTGAACATCACTCCAATCCTGGAAATGTGACCCTGAAGTCCAGTGGGAAGTTAAAATTTCCTATATGATTTTGTTTCCCAGTGGACCTTGGGGGATGATTTCTCACCATCTGGGCTATGTTTAGTGGCATGGCAGCAGGATAGGTATGTAATCTTTTCTTTTACAGGTATGGCTTGATTTTGCATGTTTAATATATCACTATAAAAGACAAAGGCTACATATGTAGGAGACTTTTGCTAGTGTTTGTTGCTGTAGGTTGGTAGACATGGAGACCAAGCAGATCTTTTTCCCCCCAAGGATTTAGAAGCAGCACAATGTTATCACTTATTCCAATAATAATAAATAATTACTCAGTAAAGCTGGTCTTTGACTTTATCACTTTAAAATGAGTGACAGCTTTGCAAGTGATAATATGGATCCCTGGTGTGTAATTCAGCTTCTATCACTTTACAGCTTCATCTGTTTTATTTATTTTATTATATAAATAAAAAATGGTCCTTGCAATAACTTTCAATAGCTTGAAATCAGCATATAACATGGTGGCTTCTTGCCACTGGTTTCCTTTAAGCTGCATTTCCCTTCTAATATTAGTTCTATATGGCTACAGAGAACCAAGGTTTTCCTCATCTTTTACTGGCAAGGCAGAAATTGATGCATGTTCATATAAAACAGTATAGATTTTGTTGGAATAGTGTTAATGTATTTTGCAACAACTACTTCAATGCTCAGTAGAGATATATTCTTCAGCCAGTAGATGGCAGTGTTTATAAGTTTTTAGCTGCATTTATGGTACTGAATACTCTATTGTCTTTTTTCTATAGGTTCCTGTTTCCTGTTAGCAGAGAAGTAAGTAGATTAACACATGTGTACTGTGCACTGTCTGCTCTGTTAACCTATATTTAGAATCTTTAGCAGGTTATAGGCTCAGACACCGAGTTATAGCCTACTACAGAAAAGACATGCAAGATACAGCATCAGAAAGAAGACTGCAACAGAATAAAAGAAAATGGCCAGTGACACAGCTGCAACAAAGCTTTAATTTGCAAATCTGACAAACCAGAACTACCAGTCTTGGAAATTCAAGATGAAAATGCTGCTAATAAGAGAAGGTACCTGGAAATGTATAAAATTACATCAGGCAAGAACAGTGGATAGAGAAAAATCAGAAAGCTCACAGCACAATCTCTCTAAGTATAGAAGATGATCAAACCATACATATATATAATTGTGATACTACTAAACAAATGTAGGTAGGATTGCAAAAGGGGCATGAAAGAGCTAATCTTAGCAATAAACTGTACTTGAGTAGAAAGCTATACTAAACAAAGCTGATGAAAGGCAAGGATATGAGGGATTACATAAGGCACACCTTGGAAATGGTTAAATGCCTGAGAGGTATAGCAGAAGAAATAAAAGATTTTCATGTCACAGCACAATTATTTTGTGGTTTATGAGAAAGTTATGAAACACTTGTCACAGCACTTGATGCATGTCATTGATGCAACTGACATCGGAATATGTTGAGGACAAGCTTGTGGATTATTATAAGCATTATAAAAAGTAA